AGACCCTTGAGGGGGAGAAGACGGCAAGATTTAGAGAATCGATCAATGACTACAAGAACACATGTGTTACCATCCGATGCCGGTAGATCTGTGATGAAATCCACTCCTAGGTGTGACCAAGGGCGGTTGGGAATGGGCAGAGGAAGGAGCTTGCCAGATGGTAGGTGGCGTGGGCTCTTGGAGATGGCACATTCGGAACAGCCCTGAACGAACCTTCTCACATCCCTGGCCATGTTGGGCCACCAGAAGCGATCCTTCAGCAGCGAGATGGTGCTGTTGGCCCCTGGGTGGCCAGTGCCCAGAGGAGGTGTGAACGGAGTGAATTAGGGAAGTGCGCTGTGCTCTGGTGACGTATTGCACTCCAGGTGGGCAACCCGGCGGAGTGGGCGTGGAAGCATTGGTGGAGGTGACTGGGTTATCCTTCCATTGGATGGGGCTTACGAAGATCTCCTTGGGAATAATGGATTCTGGTTCCTCACTGACCTCCTCAGGAGCATGAAGACGAGATAGAGCGTCCGCTTTCACATTCTTGGGACCAGGACGATAGGAAATGGTGAAGTTGAATCTCGTAAAAAAGAGAGCCCATCTTGCCTGACGAGGATTGAGTCTCTTGGCGTCTCGCAAATATTGCAGGTTCTTATGGTCAGTGAGGACGTTGAATGGGTGATGTGCTCCCTCCAACCAATGCCTCCATTCCTCTAGGGCTAGTTTGATAGCCAGGAGCTCTCTGTTGCCGATGTCGCAATTCCTCTCCGCCGGGTTGAGCTTGCGTGAGAAGGCACATGGATGGAGTTTGGCTGGAGTCCCCTGCTGCTGGGAAAGTACGGCTCCCACTCCTGTAGTGGAAGCGTCCACCTCTACCACAAATGGTTTATTGGGGTCTGGATGGATGAGGAGCGGGGCAGAAGTGAAGGCTTTCCTAAGTGCTTCAAGTCTGCCGCTCCCAAGGGGAGAGACGAGCGCCGTCCACTAGCATGGGTTCACGACCTGGTTCTGGAGGGCTGATGGTGTCTGGCCGACGAAGGAGTGGAGTGTATGGTGGAAGTTGCTGTTCTGCAATGCAAGATTGCATACGAGTAGCGCAGCGGATGGATAATTGTATAAACCGTTCCAAGCCATAGGAATCATCGTAGGCTGCGAGCTGAAGTTGCACCTTCGGATCCAGTTCTTGCCGGTAGGTGGTCAGAAGGGCGTGTTCATTCCATCCGCTGGCTGCTGCGAGGGTTCTGAACTTTAGAGCGTAATCATTGATGGACAGAGACCCTTGACGGAGATGATATTACTGGTCACAGACAGAGGTATCACCTATGGGTCTACCAAATACTTCTCGGAAATGTGCAAGAAAATTATCAAGGGATTGAGTTACAGTACCGGCTTGGGACCAGATGGTCTCTGCCCATTGAAGTGCCCGCCCCGATAGCAGTGATATGATGAACGCTATCTTAGCGCTTTCCTGGGCGTACAGATGTGGCTGCATCTCCAGTGCGAGCGAGCACTGCAGCAGAAATCCGTTGCACTCCTCCGCCGAGCCAGAGAAGGGCGCTGGTCTGGCCATGGGACCGGTAAGTACTGTTGTGGAAGAGGAAGCGCGTTGGTGATGGGCGTGACAGGTGGTGTGACAATGGCCGGGGTGAGTATCCGTTTGAGGTAAAATGTCATGATGTGTTACTCTCCAAAAATCTAAATGTTATTCATGAATTAATAATTCAAGATAAAAATATATATAAAAAATCATACTCTTGAAAATGTACCAATACTTCCCTTGAAAGATATAAAAAATGTATTTATAAAAGTTTTTCAAAACCTTCAGAAACCGACATGAATACAAACTATTCATTCAGTTCTGTCCATTACAATATTTACAGTCTGTTGCATTTTGTGGCCCGCCTGCAGATGGATATCACTCCAGGCCCTGATGGTCGCTTCGGTTTCACTATCGTGGGAGACTGCCCCCTGCTGGTGGAGGATTGCTCCCCCTGCTCCCCAGCGGGTCGCAGTGGTCTCAGAGCTGGAGATTATGTCATGGAGGTGAATGGGATCCCAGTGAAGCACCATGAGATGGCAGCCGCTTTGATAAAGGCCTCTCAGGGCCGCACGCTGCGGCTTGGGGTGCTGTGCATGGGCAGTCGCCAGAAACGCAGCAGCGGGAGTCTAGAGGGCTCTCAGAAAGACACAGATGGCATGCGTCAGGACCGCAAACACAAGGCTCTGGAGTTCAATAGGAGGGTGAGTTTATCTGACAAACGTATGTTTTTTGAATTTATGAAATGAAAGAGGTGCCAAATCACAATCATTCCTGTTTCAGGTTGAGGAGATTTTGAGGAATGAACCAGAGGTGAAAGAGAAACTGTTTGCTGTACTGAAACAGTTTGCTGCTGAGAGGAAGGTGGACTGGCTTGCTTCCGTTCTTCCTGACATCTTGACAACTGAAGAGCAGCAACAGCTCATCTTAAACATCAGGTACCATGACAACCCCATCTGCCACCTACAGCACTCATTAATTTTTAACCTCCATCTCAGGGCCACTCTGACCCAGATGTTTTCTGCTACTGTATTTAGCCGTGCAGAACAGTTTGAAGGCCACCAGAGGGCATCAGTTTAATGTAGGTTTTGGTGAATATATGAATAGAACTTTAGTACATTCTTTGCTGTTCTTATTATTTATGTCATACTATGATGCACATTTGCAGTAAACATAAACACGCTTTCATTTCTCTGTGTTTGCTATAGAATTAAGCAGTGTGGCTTACGGTATAAACTGGTATGACCTAATTAGGCCACTGATAGATGTGTCTCCATCTGGTGCTGCCATGTAAACTGATCATCTTCAATCCCTCTGCTGTGTGCTGGCACAGTTAATAGTGAAATTCCTTTTCCAGTCCAGTCTATGCCTTAATGTCAACTGGGTCAATAACATAAGACGGCACTGGATAGAGAATTTTAGTGTTGATCCATTTGTCAGCTTCTCTTTGGGCAGTGTCAAGCTGTTTGGCACATGATGCTCAGTGGGACAGTTTATGTGGAATAACAAGCGAGGTGTTTTCACATGATTTGTTGTTTAATATACTTTAATGTACACTAATGTTCAAAAGTTTGGGTTCAGAAGTCTCTTATGCTCACAAAGGCTGCATTTATTTGATCAAAATATGATTTAAAAAAAACAGTAATATTGTGAAGTATTATTACTGTTTAAAAAATACTTTCTATTTTAATATGTTTTAAAATATAATTTATTTCTGAGATGGCAAAGCTGAATTTTCAGCAGCCATTACTCCAGTCACATTACTTGTATGATTCTTCAGACAGAAATCAATGTTGTATGCTGATTTGGTGCTCAAGAAACATTTCCTATTATTATTAATGCTGAAAATAGTTGTTCTGCTTAATATTTTTGTGGAAACTGTGATAATTTTTTTCAGGATTCTTTGATAAAAACAACAGCATATTTAAAATAGAAATCTTTTGTAACATTATAAATGTCTTTACTGTAATGAATGATCACTTTAATGCGCTTGTGTTGAATACAAGTATTAACTGTAACACTTTAGTGTAGGGACCTTGTTTAGTGTCGTTGCTTATTAGCATGCCTGTTATTAACATATTGGCTGTTTATTAGTACACATATTCTGCATGACCATATTTCACCTCCCTAATCCTAAACTTAACAACTGCCTTACTAACTATTAATAAGCAGCAAATTAGGAGTTTATTGAGGCTAAAGTCGTGGTTAATGGTAAGAATTGGACCTTTAAAAAAAAGTGTGACCAAAAAATCCAAACCACAAACTTTATGGTAAATGGTAGTGTATGCTATTGCCATTATTCAAAATTATTAATACAATAGATTTTGTCTGGTGCAAGAGAAATACTGTATGTTACACATAGGTTGCATTTTGCAAGACAGCTTTCCTCAATTTATGAGAGAAAGAACATCATTAAGGTTACATACAGTATAGTGTTCAATATTGTGTTTGCTAAATGGAGACAAGCTATTCCCTCAGCGCAGTATGGGTGTCGTTCCTTTGTATTATGAGATAATAAACTTTGTCACTGTATAATCCTCTTTAGAGAGATATCTGGTGAAGGGTGGTGAATGGAGATCACCATGTGTTCAGCAGCATGGGGATCTTGAGTTCCTTGGGATGTACTTTGTAATCTAAATATGCTGCAGTTGAACTAGAATATAAGAATATGACACATGGAACTTGTGGAAGGAAATTAACCATATTGAACTGTTGGTACTTAGTATAGTTAATCTTTTTTGATCTAGTACATTTGAATATTATCTAGGACAGATTTTAAGCCAGTCTGGGTAGATTTAGTTTGCATTGGCCTACTGGGACATTAGCCAGTTTCCAATTCAACTGAGATATGCTCTTTTAGTTGGCACTAAAGATGTATCTGGGCACAATCATCATCATTTCTTGAAATCCATTATTTAGGTTACATGGCAAGCCATGGTTGTTCAGTTTAAGTTGTGACTGTTTATTTTGCCATCTTAGAGAAGTAATCACAAGATTGTTGTTCTTATTCATTATTCATCAAGAAACTGAATGCTTTGAAGAGAGAAAAATATTTCAAACAACATTTTAAAACGAGTTCAAAAAGTTTGAACTGTTCAAAAGTTTGAACCGTTCAAAAGTTTGGGGTCTGTTATTTTTAATGTTTAGGATTTTACACGGGTCACGACGAGGCGTTCCCCATAGCGACCCCTAGAGGACGCAGTTCGAAGTTCCCATGAAAGGGAACAGTTTTGCTGCTTATTGCTTCTGTGAAATCTGATACATTTTGTTTTAGAATTCTTTGATAAATAGAAAATTTAAAGCATTTATTTGAGGCATTTTAGAAATCTTTTGTAACATTTTAATGATTTTACTTTTGATCAATTTAGTGCATCCTCACTGATTAAAAGTTTTTTTTTTTTTTTTTCAAACATTTGAATGGTAGTGTAAGCCTAAAACATTTTACATTTTTCATGTACATTTAATACACACACACACACACATATATATATATATATATATATATATATTTACAACATACAGTAGCTTGTATCCTATAACCTGTCCTGCCCAATTAAACACATGAATTGGTAAAATAATATCACTGGTCTCATTTAATTCTCACTATATAAATTTATCAGCCTTGTCTCACTATATTAGGTACGTGTCTCAGTTTCTGCCGACACATAATCTCACTCTTTCTCTCTTTGTGAATCTCATGGATTTTCTGCTCATTATTCGGGGCTGATCTTCTGCAGGTCAATGTGAGAGGCAGCGGTCTCTAGACAGTTGTAGTCAATGGCTCTTGATGGCTCAGAGGCTGTTAAATTACGTCCCTCTGGGTTAAAGTGACACTCGTTTTTCTGAATATATCTCTTAAGTAGCCACTTCAGTTTCACCTTGTTCTGAGTCATGATAAACTAAAAGATGAGTTGCTGTGGGTGAGTACTTTTCATTAAACTTTAATATTATTCATTGTGGAATATGTCTCTTCAATTTACAGTATTTTACTAAGAAAATCATTGTGATTTGATTTGTTGATTCATTTTGTGTCTGTTATAAGATTGTTTAACATGTCTAAGATTTTAACTTGTCATGTATGAAAGGTTTGTGAGCAGACTGTGTTCATTGCTGCTAAATCAGGCAAGTTGTGTCAGTTATACAGTGATATTTTAGAGATAAACAACTGTTCAAAACTTTGGGGGTCAGTAGGATTTTAAAAATGTTTTTGAATTAACTGTCTTATATGTTCACCAAGGTTGCATTTATTTCTCAAAAATAAAGTAAAACCACTATTATTGTGAAATATTATTACAATTTAAAATAACTAATAAAAAAAATTATTGAACAATTTTAAAATGTAATTTATTCCTGTTATGGCAAAGCTGAATTTCAGCAGCATTAATGTAGTTTTCACATGATCCTTCAGTTATACAATCAATTAAACAAGTTATTTTAATAATAATAATAATAATAAAACTTACTGATCCTAAGCTTTTGAATGTTAGATTCCATGGCTTATTAATTGTTTTGGTTTATCTTCACTAGTTTGGTGATTCATATTTTTCCTTTTATTCTGTCCTCAAATAAAGAGCTATATAAATAATTTTGAATTAAATATTACGATGAACTAAAAAATAATTAATAAAAACACCATTGTGTTTTGCAATGGTGCCGTCAAAGTGTGTAATTAAAATATCAAAACAGAGCAACTCATATTAACCTTTCCTGAAATTTTTTTTCTTAAAAACAAATAGGCAAAGCATGGTACCATCTGACCTCCTCAAATGAATTTCACATTACAAATGCAAATATAGTCTGGCAATGGTAGTTTCATCCACATTTTCTGAAAAGCTCAATCAATGCTAATGTGCTGTGGTGTATGCTGTCATTTATAATACTGGCAGTAGTGCTTTAGTACTCTACGTAAGCTAAGGTTTGTACTCTAGTGGCCTCTTAGGGCGCTTCATTCTTTATTTTATTCTTGTCTGCTGTCTGGAACTGCTGCTATTAATGCAGCGTTTGGCCACTCAATTAAAGTCACTGTGTCTCTCTCTGTGCCTCTATAATAATGTGAACCTGAGGCAACTCTGCACTCTAGAATTGTCTAATGGTGTGGTTTTGTCAATACTGTCATCCAGGCAATAGGGAGAAAAAAAATTTGTGAAAAAAAATTGTGAAACTGTATAATTTTAAATCATATTTCCAGGTTACGATTATATAGTATCTGTGTGCAGGGTGTCTGTGTCCTTCAGAATGATAGAGGCTGAAATCAAGAAAAACAAATGTGTATGTTTTACTTAAAGGGATAGTTCACCCAAAAATTATATTTGTGTCATAATTTACTCAACCTCGTGTCTTTCCAAACCTATATTTTTAAAAATGTCTCTGTGTTTGTGAGGGTGAGTAAATGATGACAGAAAAGCACTATAGATAGTCCCCTTTCTGTGCCTATAACTCTGATATGTTTAGTATTAAAATAATGTCTGATCTATGGAAAAGAAAATTAGTTACATTCAGTTTGTGTTCATAATCCATTAGCCTGATTACAGTCTGTCAGTGACAATAAGAGACTTACAAATATCAGGAGCATTAATGCCGTGACTCAGAAAATGAATGTGCTTTTTGTTTGATAAACGCATGGAATTATTTTAAATGCTAATGTCGGTACATCACCTTCAGAGAACAAAGCAGACAGAATTGCGTTGACGTTACACTTGTCGAGGTTACTAAGGTTACATTTGCTGAGGTTTTTCAATTGGGGTCTTTTTCTGGTTCCCTGGTGGGCGGCATAACAGGCTTTTCCATATCCGCCAACGTTGCATAAATGTGATAAACGTGGCCTTATTTCTATTCAGAATCCCATAAAGGTGAAGCTAGCAGAGTTAAAATTGTATTTGTCTCCTCTCTGCCAAAATGTTTTTTCCCAAACGTTTTTGTCTAGCCATTTTTCCCGCTTCAAATCTCACTGAATTCAGCATGCGCTGAATCTTTTCAATTATATTTCGAATGTCATGCTACGAGTTTTGAATTTGCTCTCTTGCATATGAGATTTGATGCTGTTCCCAGAGAGCATGGAACATCAGGAACAGCAAAAAGAGAATGAGGAAAGAGAGGGAGACAGCGAGTGAAAGAGAGAGAGAGAGAGGCGGTAGTGTGATGTACTCCCACACCTTTGCTATTGCTGGATTCTGGTATCTGTACCAGAGCTTCTGGAGTGGGAGTTTCAGATGAAGACAGCACTCAGAGAGGCTGCTACATGTTGGAGTTCCTCACAGCTTCCATGAAATATCGGGATTGCCTTCATTACTTGGCTTTCTTTGAGTTTTTTTAATCTCTGCCATCCTTTCCTGTTGTCATGGATTTTGAAATGTCACAGTGATCCTGAATGAACGCAGTGGACTCAGATCTGAAGCTCCTTCACTTTGGGTCGTGATAGAAACCATTAGATGGGAAAACTGACTGGCTGAGCTGAACTAGCAACCTTTAAAAAGTCTTTATAATAATGGCTCCTCGTAGCTGATTTAGACCTTTTTTCTCTGTTGCCTTGCTGTGACCATGTTTGCCAGGATCTTCATTCCCAAGAAGCATCGGCAGCGCTTTGACGAGGCCGTTTCTCAGAGTCTCCTCAACCGCATGTGCCGTAGCAAGAGCCTTGGCGAGCCCCAAAACAGGCTCCGCCGAAGCCGAAGTCAAGACCACCATGAGCGTCCGCAAGGCTCGAAACGGGCCAGTTCTGTGCCCAGAGATACCGGCGATGACCCGGCCCAACCTGAGCGTGGCCTTAGGAAGAGCACCACCATGATTCCCAGCCACTATGTCACTGGAGCTAACCAGAGGTACGTATCGCACACCTCTTTCATAGGTGTTCCTTTTCCATGTCCTATTATTTATGATAAAATTAGCGTTTTAATCTTTCATACTGGTTTGAAAGGACGATTTTATCCCAAAACACGGCAGGAAGCCTCCTCAAATGCTTAGAACACTGTGTGATATGTGGGAGATTTTGTGTGTGGGTGGGTGAGAGAAGCATTATTGAGTTGTGTTTGTTTCTGTGCCTCATGCTTTCCCTCCCTACACACACACACATGTATGTACTGTCCACATCACAAGCATTTTTTCATATTGGGATCTACTAATTGGTTGTTTTAGAATTCGGGATATACAATCAGCTTATCACACTATTTTAATCATTAAAATCATGACTTAACCTAAAAGGAAGATTGCCATCATATCATATTCAAGCCATGAAGCTTCTTATTGAAATTTGAGCCAGAACAGAAGCAGATCCTCTTGTCGTCTGGTTTAAATTAATATTGCTTTCTATACGGTGTCACTACAATCTGTCAATATTCTTTATTTGTGAATTGAAAGTGATATCTAAAATATTAACAGAGAAGTATCACCCAGAGTGTTTAGGTTATTAAATACTACAGTAAGAGTGGATATGATGTGCTGATACCCTGTAGATTGTATTCCTCATCTGATAAGCTGCTGCTCTTCAATAAATAATGCCTCCTTGGCTCAGTCCTTATGTAATCTCTATTCAGAGTTCTTATGTCTTTGCTTATCTGTCATCCCCTTTCTAATCCGCCATCAGTGTTTGGTTCTGGTGGCCCACCTTATATAAAATGGCACTGCGACAAAAAGCAAATGTTTCTACTGCTTTCCCTGGTCTCTGTTTACTCAACGGTTCCAGTGTCGCCTTGAGATGTTGCCACAGCAACCACTAAGGCTAGCTAAACACTAATGATATGTCATAGGTTTTCTCTAAGAAGCAGGGAAATCTTAAATCTCCTTCTTAAATAGCTCGTCGAGTGGTGCTTCAGTATACTTGTCTGTTTGGTTTAGGATGAATCATAAGTTGGGATAAATTGATATTCGTATGTTCAGCCTTTGAAAAGCATTGGTCATATAGTGTAAACATATAAGTTCATATTTTACTCGTTGAGGAGATGAGTACTATTATTTTTACATATTTTTTGACTGGTGCATTATAAAACTCTTGAAATATCCCATAAAGACTTAAGGAATTGGTGGGCCATTTCAAAGGACATGAATATATCAGAGACTTGGGACAGTAGCAACCAACCAGGGCACCTTAGCAACGCCCTAACAACCATTTAGTACACCATAACAACTGCTCTTTTGACTTAAGCCAGTAAACAACCACCTAGCAACCACCCAGAACACCCTAGAAACTGCAAAGCCACACCATGACAGCTGTTTTGACCTGGGCCAGTAGGTAACCACTAGGGGTGTAACGGTTCAAGTTAATCACGGTTTGATTTGTGTCACAGTTTTAGAGTCACGGTTTCGGGACGGTTCGGTATGTGCTATGTTTAGGGAAAAGCACTATACTGTCAAACAAAACTAAAGAAAATAAGAACAAATAATCTAATTACAAGCAACAGCACAAATAAATACAATAGAGCAAAGATACAAATAATATAAACAGTGCAGAAATTGAATAAAGTAATCAAATGTAAAATAACATTACATATTTGTCTGTATAAATTCAAGATTAATCCTTATTAAGTTACAAAAGCTATTCAGTCAAGAGCAGTGATTGATTTCCTTGTCTTATAAAAAAAGTGCTGTCACTTTAAGACAATGCACAGATCCAGTACACTGAAACTGTAGGCTATGTTCAACGGACTATGTTTGCTAGGATACTTACCAAGACAGGCATGTTGACATAATTTTTGTGTGTATTTGTCCATTGAAGCACAAGACATGAAAACGATTTGCGCGTTCTGAGATGTGGGTTCAAGCACTTCGGATGAGCGCACACAGATCTTCTCACTGCGCGCGAGTTCTCCTTCGTGTCTTCTGGCTCTTTAATATTTAAACTGGCAAGGCTTAAATGAGTTTAGTTTAAAAACAGATAGCAACGTGTGCTATCAGACTTTGTTGCAACCTAGAATTAAACTGCTGGTTTCGTCTGGCCAGAGGAGAATGGCAAACTACTTCGACACTATTCCCCTGTTTAATACTGTAAAGCTGCTTTGACACAATCTGCATTGTAATAAGCGCTATATAAATAATGGTGACTTGACTTGACCGTTCAGGTCTCACCTGCGCATGCGTACTATACCCGGATAATGACGGCATAAATGACTGGTCATTCAAGTATACGGCACTCGCACTGACAAGGGGCGACTGGTTTGTACACATTTTCTTTTTCATTGCTGTTGTTGTAATGTATTGGGAAGCCAGAATGCATATCCATCGACAAACATACATTAGCTGGACTCTGTCTGTTTTGCGTGTTGTAATTATTATTATTATTTAAAGATTTATTTGTGCCATTATTATGATAGCACACATCAGAGCTGACAGGAAGCAAAGTGGGAGAGAGAGAGGGGAGGGATTGATAAAGATCTTTGATTTGGGATTCGAACTCGGGACGCACATAGCGCAGTATGTCGGCATGCTGCCCACAAAGCTATCTGCACTGACACCATATTTCAGATGCGTTGTCAGATTTAAGTTGAACCTCATTGAAAGTTCGTGCCGAACCGTTGGTGGAGAACAGTACGGTTCGATTTTTTACCAATAACCGTTACACCCCTACTAGCAACTGCCTAGAACACCCAAGCAAAGCCCTACAGTAGCAACCACCCCGACTGCAAAGTAACACCATGACAACATTTTGACCTAGGCCACTAACTAAACACCCAAAACACTCCAGAAAAGCCCTAGCAACCACCAAGAACACCCTAGAAACGGCAATACAACACCATGGCAACTGCTATTTTGATATGGGCCAGTAAGCAACCACACAGAACACTTTTTTATCAACATGCCAAAAAATCACTCAGAACACCTTAGCAGCTGCATAGACTACACTGTGGCAGTAAGTTTTGTGCAGACAAGTCATTTTCTTAAAGAAAAATTATTATTTTTTAAAATCTTATTTTGAATATAAGTATTGAATATTATGTGAGTATTTAACATACCTACAGTCAGTCAGTAATGCCTCTCTTGCTTCCTCCGCAGAACCATCCGTGTGTACAGGGGTAAGAAGAGTTTTGGGTTTACTCTGAGAGGTCACGCTCCTGTGTGGATCGACTCAGTAATGACAGGTGCATATGAATGATCGTGACATCTACCCATAAGCACTTGCAACCGTTCATTATTAATCAGAGTGAAAAAAAAAACACTGACTCTCAGGTGAGTCAGGCTTTTCTTTTTCTGAGGGTTTCTGATCTGACCCAGAATTATACATCCTGCCACCAAGCATACAGATCTAGTGCTAGAAATGATTTTTTACCGTCATATTTTTGCCACCAGCCACTGATCAAGTAAAGATGCTCTCCTTATATAAATCACCATCTTCCAGGGCACGGCTGTGTTTTGTTACTCAGAATTTGTGCCACATTGAGGGTCATATCGCTGTAGGCTACAGAGGCGGCTGTAATAAAAAAGCACATGGAAAGCACAGCTGGGTTCAGTGGTTTGTTTTCAAGGGGAATGGAGTGTTTTTTTTTTTATTGGTGCATTGTGAAAAAGAAGTGGGCTGTTGTACTAATGAGCAAGCTTTGGGTACATTTGTATTGAAGTCTGCACGATTGTACGTTCTGAGTGGAGAGAGGGCGGTAAGTGTGTGAGTGTCTATTATGACGATATTCGCCCACTGCAGGCCTGTGCTGAGGCTAGTTAATACTGACTCAGCCGTCCGTGTGGGGCTGCTTATAAAAACAAGTAGGAGTGTAGCATCGTGATGAAAAAAACAGATTACATTCCCTTTCAGACCTCCGACGGAGTATCTTGTAGTGTTTTACTAACAACCGATCACAAAGGACAGCAATATTACACATCAACACGGTTCACTGAAAGATTGTCTGTGGCTTTGGGTGTATTATTCACTGCAAGTGTCTGAGGTTTCATTCTCAGTCCCAAACCCATGTTTTCCTATTACAGGTAGTCCAGCTGAGGCGTGTGGCCTTAAACCAGGAGACCGCATACTGTTCCTCAATGGCCTAGACATGAGGTGCGTTTATTTTTGTTATGCTGTGATGATGCTTTAAAAGTTGCACATCAGTAAAGTGATATTACAGTAGATACTGTGGTAAACTTATCTAAGAATACACAATTTATGTTTTGTTTTTTTTTATAATTAAGTGGTTATACGAAACATGTAATCAAGTTAACCTAATGTGTAACAATGTCACCTAACCTAGCCATTTTATTTGCACTACCATACCATTCAAAAGCTTGGGGTCATAAGATTTTTTTTAATTAAGTCAGCTTTTAGTCAGCAAGGACACATAAATTACATTTATAATGTTACAAAAGATTTATATTTTTAAAAAATGCTGCTCTTTAAAATTTTCTATTCATCAAAGAATCCTAAAAGAAAAGGTTTTCACAAAAATATTAAGCAACAAAGCTGTTTTCAAACTTGACAATAATAAGAAATGTTTCTTGAGCACCGAATTAGCATATTAGAAAGTTTTCTGAAGGTTTATGTGACACTAAAGATTGCAGTAATGGCTGCTGAAAATTAAGCTTTACCATCACAGGAATAAATGGCTTTTTAAAATACATTAAAATATATTATATATTATTTTTAATTCATTTAAATATTTCACTATATTACAGTTTTTTCCTGTATTTTTGATTAAATAAATGCAGCCTTGGTGGACATAAGAGACTTCTTTCAAAAGCAATAAAAATCTTCCTGACCCTAAACTTTTGAATTACAGTGTGACTACTTGCAAGTAGATTTAACTCAAATGTGCCATTTAAATAGTGTTTTAACTAAATCATTTCAATTGATTTGGCTTGAACACAAGTTAAACATTACTGAGGCTAGGGGGTTTTCAGCTTCCAGCATGCTTTGTGTGCTAGTGGATGGGAAGATTTTTTATTTATTTATTAATATGTATTTTTAATTTGTTATTTTGTGTTTTGTTTGGGAAAGACCTAAAAGTGACTTTTTAGTACTTTGTGTGCCTGTTCTATGATGATTTGAAGGGAGTTATTACGAGAGTTGACGAGTTCAAATGGTAATTGGGTTGGAAACAAGCTATTTTTAGTTTGACTATTCATATTAGGCATTTATATTATTCTGCTGCTCCTTAACAAACCACCAGCTTTCACAGTTTGTTTGTTTAGGTCTAAATGTAAATCAGTTTCCTGCGGCCATGATTTAGCTGTTTCTTGGCTAATCTCAAGAGCACAGCAATTTATTTCATACTGCCTCCGGGGGACTGACAAGCATAGAATTATGTCAATAAAAAATTCCCACCAACTGTACATTTATTTATAAGTGTTATTTAAGAGAACATGCTATTTGATTTTTCCTATATTATATTATATTACTGTATATTATATTACACATTGATTCTATTCTATGTACATTTAGGAACTGCTCCCATGAGAAAGTGGTGTCCATGCTGCAGGGCAGTGGTGCCATGCCCACTCTAGTGCTGGAAGAGGGCCCCGTAGATTATCCGCTCTCAGATTCAGAGCCGGAGGAGTCCCCCACCATCCCGCGCTCGCGCTCCCCGGCCCTCAGCTCCCTGCAGTGGGTGGCCGAGATCCTGCCTCCCAGCATCCGCGTGCACGGCCGTACCTTCAGCCAGCAACTTCAACACCTCCTCACCCTACAAGAAAGATATACCATTTGCAAAGCTCTGGAGACCTTCTTCCAGCACAGGTCAGGTCAAAATTCATCATGGCTGAGTGGGAGCAGACACATGACTTAGTGTTATATTACTTGAGGTTGGCAGTACTGAGATTAAATACTGTCTTAGCAAAACAAAAAGGAGTTGTGTATGTGGCATGCTTGTGATTAGATTTGGTGGTCTGAGTTGTTTGGGACCGTAACAACAGTACATATGCAGGTCAAGAGTTTGGAATAATTCAGTTATAAAATTTATATAGAGATTTTTTTTTAATGATGTTGAAGGCTCCTTTGCTCACGAAGGCTGCATTTATTTGAAGTAATATATATATATATATATATATATATGGCATCAAAGAATTTTTAGCATTCATTACGTCAGTCTTCAGTGTTACATGATCCATCAGAAATCATTCTAATATGCTGATTTGCTGCTCCAGAAACATTTCTTCCTATTATCAATGCTGAAAACAGTTTTTGCTGCTTAATATTTTTGTGTAAGAAGTGATACACTATACCATTCAAAAGTTTAGGGTGAATAAAAAAGAGAAAGCAATACTTTTAGGCCACAAGGAAAATTTAAATTGATCAAAAGTGACAGTAAAGACATTTATACAAATAATTTCTATAATCTTCAAATAAATGCTGTTCTTTACATCTTTCTATTCATCAAAGAATCTTGAAAAAATGGATCATGATTTCCACAAAAATATTAAGAAGCAAATAATAATAATAGCATTGGTAATAATAAGAATCATTGTTGATAATTGAGTACCAATAATAATAATTGAGCACCAAAGTCAGCATATTAGAATCATTTCTGAAGGATCATGTGATACTGAAGACTGGAGTAATGATGCTGAAAATACAGCTTTGCCATCACAGGAATAAACTACATTTTAAAATAAATTCAAATAGAAAACAGTTATGTTAAATTGTAACAATATTTCACAATATTACTATTTTTCTGTCTTTTTAATCAAATAAATGCAACCTTTGTGAGCATAAGGGACTTGTTTCACAAACATCAAAACATTGTAATTATTCCAAAGTGCATTTCTTTTAATGAAAGATATCATTGTATTTTATAGTCATGACTTTAGTGACCAATGCAGTGTTTGACAAAAAAAACATACAAGTTAGAATTTCAGAGCTAATTAACACTTATAGACTGTAACCATCCTGCCATATGATTACAAATATCATAGCATACTGTTCCCACAGCGAGGGATTTTCTGTCGCTTGGCAGCAGCAAGGCAAATATGAAAAGCATTCAAAAATAGCTTCAGCCTCAAGCACAAATAGATACTCACAATCAAGAGCAATCTGTGGGTTCTTCCAAATATAATAAATAACGCTCACTGGTGTGACTGCTTGCTGAGAGAGCAGCCCAATTATTTCTAAAATGACTCCCTCTGTTGCATGTAAACAGGAATGTGGACACACTCATTGTAGATGTGTTTCCTGTGCTGGACACTCCAGCCAAGCAGCTGATTTGGCAGTTCATTTACCAGCTGCTGACCTACGAGGAACAGGAACACTGCAAGAGCAAGATCGCCCGCTTCCTGGGCTTCAAGAGTGCAGGTTAGCTGTGGCTTTACTGTGTGAACGTCAGGGGTTTTCTGCCCTGATTGCATTCTGACTGTGCATGTTTATTACCGCAGAACCAGAGGTAGGTCCAGAAACCCACAGACGGAGCAGCTCCATGCGAGTGTCAGGTACCTCTCACAAAAACACTGTGAGAGAGAGAAGCTCAGACGACTGCATCATCGGCACTCACCTGGGAATGGGTATGACATTTTCCCCTATCAGTTTTTTGGATTTAGACAAAAAAGCAGGGTCCAAAATGAACTTTTTCCACACTGAACATATAAATACATGAAAATTGTATAATATAATATAATATAATATAATATAACATTTTTATGTAATGTATATATACACTATAAACTCAAAAGTTTGGGGGGTTTTGCTAAGATTTTTTCATATTTTTGAAAGAAAAGTCTCTTATGCATTTATTTGATCAAAAAAACTGTAAAATTCATAATATTGAGAAATATTATTACAATTTAAAATAACAAATTTTTATTTTAATGTATTTTTAAAAGTTATTCTTGTGATGGCAAATATGACTTTTTAACAACCATTACTATAGTCTTCAGTATCACATAGTCCTTAAGAAATTATTCTAATATGCTGATTCTTGTTATTATCGATGTTCAAATAACTTGTGATGCTTAACTAAATTAATTTTTGTGATATTTTGTGATTATTTTTGTGATACTTTTTTCAGGATTCTTTGGTCAATAGAAAGTTCAAAAGAACATTTAAAAATACCTTGATGTTTATTTTAAAAAATCATTTGAAAAATCTACAGTATATATATAATATATTACTTGGCACAAATACTAATTACTTGGCATTTAATAAAATCAATTTGTTACTCTTATTTGATGCTTCATACTTGTTAATTTTGGATCCTGCTCATAGTATGATGTAGAACTGATATAGGCCAATAAGTTTATATAGAATACTGTTTATGCTATGCATTGCTCCATTGTAACATTGTTTCAGGTAGCCATGTCATTCTGTCCCTCTTTGGGGTAAACAAGCAATCAGAACTGCTCTCAGCCATGTTTATGATTCACCAGCATCTATTAGGCTAAAGCTATAAACTGCTTGCAATCGCTGTGCGCCTCTCAGCCACCTACCGGCCAGACCCGCTGCTGAAGCTGACTGCCCTCAGTCTCTTTTTAGCTCCTGAAGGGCAAGCAGCTTTCTGTGCACATGCTCTGTTTCTGGACCACGCTCTCTCTGTGTCTCAGGAACATTCACTGACCCTGTGACTCCAGAGGAAAGACAGTGTGGGGATGGGACTTCCTTCCCAGAGTCCCCAGATCTCAGCCACGTGGGTACCATTTACTGCTCATCCGCAATTCATTGCACTGTCATCACTGCTGTTATGAAATCATGCATAGTCTCATCTAACCACGCCCCAACCCGTAGATGTCAGGAGTGTACACGGAGCTTGAGAACATGTTTCCCGGGAAGAGCAACCAGTCTCTCCAGAGTCACTCCTCACCCAGGGCTGTTGGCATGGGCCACGCTGAGAACAACACATACACTCAGTCTTTCACACACAGTAACGCAGGTATTCTGAGTTTGTTCTGACATCCACAATTGACACATGGTGCCTCCAAAAAAAATAAAAAATAAAAATGGCTGTGCGGGACCTGTGTGACAAATTTACACTAAATGTGCTTGCTTATGTAGATAATTTAAGATAGAAAACAGGGGTTTTCAAACTGGGGTCCAGGGAGCCACAAGGGGTTAAATAGGTTTTATTTTTCTTTGAGAGTTAAAAGAATTACAGAATATTTTTGGAGGGCTTTTAAAGTTAACACACTAACTGAAGATATTAATTAAACCTGTTTTATACATAATTTTGGTAACATTTTATAATAATGTTACATTTAGTAACATTAGTTAACTACATTACATGAACAATGAAAAATACTTCTAAAGCATTTATTAATCTTAGTTAACATTAATTTCAACAAAATCTAAATAAAAAGTCTATTAACATTAGTTAATGAACCTGAGCTAACATGAACTAGCTAGTTGTATTTTTATTAACTAACATAAAAAAAAGATGAATAAATACTGTAATAAATGTATGGCTCATTGTTAGTTAATGTTAGGTAATGCATTAATGAGTGTTAACTAACACTTTATTGTAAAGTGGTACCATAATTTCTTTAACATTATTACTGTTATTAACTGTACTTATATTATTATTATTACTACTTATTTATTTATTTATTTGTTGACATAGCTTTTACATAGCATTTATTTATTGATAATAGCTTTTAAGAGTAAGAAATTAAGAAAAATCTAATTTGGATATTATAAGTTGGCAGAAAAAAAATGGATTTGGATAAATATTTGTTGTGCAAATGATTATACAAAAATTAATTTAATTGTAAATGTTTCTCTTTAGATTTGGATGATAATTTAAAAGTGGGTGTACTCTCCAATTCAATTTAAATATTTAACAAATAATATTGTAATGGTTTTGTTTTGCAATGACAATATACAAGCCAATTATTTTTTATGGCCTTACAATTAGGGCCATGGCATCAACAAGTTTGAAAATCCCTAGTTTAATGTATTAGCATGTTATAGTTCTTTATCTGGATCAATTTCAAACCTTTTAGAACATTTAGAACAATAAGATCTCTGATAAGTATTCCTGTGTAGTTTAAATGTTCCTCATGATTTTGTTCATTTTGCAGGGAACCGTAAGTCAGGCCTCTCTCTTTCATGGACTGAATCCTTTCCTGGCCCTCAGTTTGAGCCTTACCAGCAGACTGTTCCTTCTCCAGACAGTGTGGACTCTAATCCTTATGTTAGTTTAGACAGCCCCCCTGCCTCCCCTCTGCCTTCTGATGAACCCAGTCCTCTGCCCCAGCGCAGGAAGCTCTTCACCTTCTCACGTCCACCTCGCAGCCGAGACACCGACAAGTTCCTGGATGCTCTGAGCGAGCAGTTGGGACACCGGGTCAATATCGTGGATGACTTTAAGGGAGGGGAGAATGATTATGAGGAGGTTTGTGTCAGATACAGAAAGAGGTTACTATAGCCTGGCCAATTAAATATCACAAAATTGTAATATTAAAATATTCACAAAGAGTTATTTATTTATATAAATTATACAAAAAAAATATCATTTTATTTTATTTTATTATTTTTTTTCTACCCATCCTCCAAAACAATTGTCTTATGGAGGGTTGCTTTTATTTTATTTTACTTTACTTTTACTTTTTTCCTTCATCCATTTTCCAAACCTCTTGTCCAATGTAAGATCACATTTCTTATGTCATTATTTATTTATTTATCATCTATCGATTCTTTAAATTGTATTGTATTTTATTTTTATTTTATTTTATTCCTCCATCCATTTTTCAAACCTCTTGTCCAATGTAAGGTCACATTTCTTATGTTATTTATTTGTTTGTTTGTTTATTTATTTGTTTGTTTGTTTACCATCTATCCATTTTTTACATTTAATTTATGTTTATTTATTTGATATTTTGCATCTATCCATTCTTTAAACGCTTTTCATATGCAAGGTCACATTTTTATTAATTTTTTTTTTTAATGTTTTTCTTCCATTCACTTTCCAAACCTTTAGTCCAATGTAAGGTCAGATTTGATTTGATTTGATTTGATTTGATTTTTTTTCCCAAACCTCTTGTCCAACATAAGGTCCCATTTCTTATGTTATGTTATATTATTTATTTATTTAATTATTTATTTTCCATTTATCCATTCTTTAAATTTAATTTATATTTATTAATTTGAAATTTTGCATCTATCCATTCTTTAAACACTTTTCATATGCAAGGTCACATTTGATTTCATTTGATTTGATTTGATTTTTTATTTTAGTAGGAGCATTATATACATTTTTGTACCATACAATGTTGTTTTTTTAAGCCCTAATTGTTTTTGTGACACTGGCAGATGAGTTTCCAGGATGACCAGGAAGTGAACATGCTGCCTCATGAGTTAAGCAGTGCCAGCAAGCTCAGGGCCCAGCACACCCGTCCCCGACGCTCCTCTCCCCAGCCCAGCGCTCCACCCATTCTCCAGCTGCACCAACCGAAGGCTCACCCCATCCTACAGTCATCCCCGCGCACCTCCCCTCAACCCCCTCACGCAAGCACACAGCACACTCACCTACGACATCCCACCCAGTCCATCTACCAGAGCCAGCAGACCTCTGCCCCCAGAACCTCCCCTAACCTGACCAAACAAAAGAGCCTCCATTCCCTGCCTTCCCAACAAAGCTATGATGGTACGCTCTCAACCAAGGTTCCCCCACCACCGCCACCTCCTTTACCCCCACCTTGTGATCCTCCACCTTTGCCCAAAGCCAGCCCGAAAGCCTCTGACAACAACCACATGAGCGTGAAGAGACTGCGCTGGGAGCAGGTGGAGAACTCTGAAGGAACTATCTGGGGACAGGTTGGTTAGTGATACATAACAACCACAGTGCGCCTCAGAACCATGTTGAAGTGATGAGATGTTATTAAGTACAGATGATCTGTTTTCTAGCTTGGAGATGATCCTGATTATCATAAACTCAGTGACATGGTCAAGTACCTGGATCTGGATCTGTACTTCGGCACACAGAGGAATTCCAGTAAGTTCTCTATTTTGTTATAGCTGCTGCTTCAGTGTAGTATTGCATGTATACATCATCATCCCCTGTACATACAGTGCTGTGAAAGAGTGTTTTTTTGCCCCGTCTGATTTTCTGTGTTTTTACACTGAATGTCTTCAGATCATCAACCAATACTAAGAATTTCATAAATCAAAACCCTTTATGAACAAAAAACACAACAACATATATCTTTCATATATTTAAATGCTTCCTGTATTGGAGTGTTTCAGATCATGGCGAAGGAATTTTTTAAAATTAATTTAAGAAATTAATTATTATGTAATAATTGAATGCAATGTTACTTTATATTTATTACGAATTTTATTTATTAATTTATTTTATAATTTATTAAAGTAATACAATTTATTACACTTCCGTTCAAATGTTTAGTGGTAAGATTTTTTTTGAAAAACTCAATTTTTAAATTAATTTTAAAATAACTCTTTTCTATTTTCATATATTTTAAAATGTTATTTTTTCCTGTGATGGCCAAGTTGAAATTTCACACCTTCAGATATCATTCTAATGTGCTGATTTGGTGCTGAATTAAAAAAAATATATATTATCAATGTAGTCGTGCTTCTTTGTATTTCTTTGTAACATTATACATGTCTTTACTTTCACCTTTTATTTAATGCATCCTTGCTAAAAAAATAGTATATTAGTATAATAATTAGTATAATAAGTATTAATTTATTTAAAAAAAAACTCTCACTATTAACTACTTGCTTATTAGCATGCCTAGCATATTGGCTGTTTATTAGTACCTATAAAGCACATATTCTGCATGATTATATTCTACATTCCTAATCCTACCCAATACCTAAACTTAACAACTACCTTACTAGCTGTTGATAACCAGCAAATTAGTTTGTTAAAAGTTTTATTGACCCCAAACTTTTGATGGTAGTGTTTAAATATATGTATGTAATGACATATCATTGACACTAGAAATTCAGATGGAGGCAAAGACTTTTTAGGAACACAACATCTCAACATTGTCTGTATATTGCTGTCTTCATCCACATGTGGCATCCGGTTTGTAGCTTGTCATTTTGATGGTGAAAATGAACGCAATTACCTTGTCTATCTTTGTGCTTTTCAGCTCATCTCTCATGGAGATCTACTGTATGTCTGTCTCCGATCCCATCATTCTCATCCAGTTATTGGCATCTTACAGCCTCTTCTCAGTCTCATAACCCTCCATATAGTAGTATATTGTCTCCACTACTGGTGCGAGGAGAGCTCATCCTTACACTGTTATTAAATGTGTCAGTCTCTCTTCCAGAGCCCACTTTCCTGCCCGAGAACTTTAAAAAGAAAGACGTGGTCGAGATTCTCTCCCATAAAAAGGCCTACAACGCCTGTGAGTATGAGTGGGGTTGGGTTGAAGTGCTCTGGGTTGAGTCAGGTTTGTCGTCTCGTGTGACGTAGATGTGTAGGAGTAGGTTAAAGAGGTGCTGTAGGTATTTGCTGCTGTAGCAACTGTGTGGGAATTTGCCCAATGAGAAGGTTAAGAATCCATGTCTCATCACATCTGGCTGCCCTGTTCAGCTATCCTCATTGCACATCTGAAGCTGTCCCCGAAGGAGCTGCGAGAAATCCTCATGACCATGAGCACTGAGCGTCTGGAGCCCGCACACATTAAACAACTGTTGCTTTACGCTCCTGATGACGAGGAGGTCAAACAGTTTCAGCATTACGACCAGGACCCCGCCAAACTTAGCGAGCCTGACCAGTTTGTCCTACAGGTGCTGTTGAGTTACTACTACTTGAGTTCCAGCTGTTTTACCAGAGTTCTGTTATAATTCATGTAAATATTCATGGATTCTTTGTGGGCTTGTTCTACAGATGCTACTAGTTCCTGAGTATAAAACCAGACTGAGGAGTCTTCTTTTTAAGACCACTGTGCAGGAGAAAACAGAAGAAATGAGAGGCGCATATGAATGCATATACAAAGCCTCATTAGAGCTTAAAAACAGCAAGAGGTTGGCCAAGATCCTGGAGGTAAAACACTTAATTCAGTAGATATGACTGAATTATAAATGTTGTATCTTTTAGAAAATCTTCTGCAGAGGAGTTGGTGTTTTCGGAGCCACTCGTTTTGAAATATTTGCTCTTTATTTAAATATTATTCTTACGGTTTGTACACTTTTTGTGCTTTTAGTTTGTTTTAGCAATGGGAAATTATCTGAATAATGGTCAACCCAAGACGAATAAAACAACAGGATTCAAAATTAATTTTCTTACCGAGGTATGTGTGCAATAATTACAGACAAAACATTGCAATGTTTTGGTAACACTTTAGTATAGAGACCAATTCTCACTATTAACTAGTTGCTTATTAGCATGCCTATTATTAACATATTGGTTGTTTATTAAAGCACATATTCGGCATGATCATATTCTACATCCCTAATCCTACCCAATACCTAAACTTAACAACTACCTTACTAACGCTTAATAAGCAGCAAATTAGGAGTTTATTGAGGCAAAAGTCATATTTAATGCTGTGTTAATAGTGAGAATTGGACCATAAAATAAAGTGTGACCAGTGTTCTTATTAAACGTTCATATTTTTGATGTTTCTCCTAATAATGGATTAAAAAAACTCCTCAGCTGAACACAACAAAAACAGTTGATGGAAAGTCGACTTTCCTCCATATTCTTGCCAAATCATTATGCCAACACTTCCCAGAACTCATCGACTTCGCCAGGGACCTCATAACAGTGCCACTAGCTGCCAAAGGTAAGGTGTCAGTCAGAACAACTTCCTGCTAGATATTTGTATATAGAGTACACCTCTGTTCAGAAGTTTGGGGTCTGTAAGAATTTTGAAATCTTTTCTAAATAAGTCACTTATGCTCACCAAGCCATCAAAAATACAGTAAAAACAATAATATTGTGTAATATTCTAAAGAAATTGTTCTTAGTATTATCAATGTTGAACAAAGTTGTGATGCTTAATATTTTTGTGAAAACCATGGTATACTTTTTTCAGGATTGTTTACAGAACAGAAAGTTTACAAGAACAACATTTACAGTATTTGAAATAGAAATCTTTTGTAACATTATAAATGTCATTACTATCACGTTTGATCAGTTTAATGCATCATTGCTGAATACATTTCTTTAAAAGAATCTTTCTGACCTCAAACGTTTTACCTCTGTTGGAAAGTCATTTCTAATAGAGGTTTTTTTTTTTGCTGTTGGTTTAAATAGGAACGCAGACATAAAATTTGCAACTATGTCAATTAAATGTATTGATGAATGATTGATGTTCCTGTATTTTCATCGTAAATTCAGTCAATCAGAGGACCATTACTGCTGAGCTCAGTGACCTTCACTCCACCATCCAAGACATAAGAACCTCCTGTGTGAAAATCCCAGCTACTGCAGAGGATGGCTTCGCATCGGTTATGAGTGTATCCACCAATCCACAGCCTTTTCTGAATGAGTTTGTTAGTGAGAAGTACAGCTATCCTGTGAGAATATATATATATCGAACTTCCGTTGCAGTGTATCAGCCCTTAACTCTGATATTAGAGCTTTCTGGAAAACTGTCATCCAGCTGTGCAGTCCCTAGACTCCTTGCAGCAAAGAGCAATGGATGAGTTTCATAAAGTGGCCTCCTACTTTGGAGAAGACAGTAAGGCCACGACCACAGAAACCTTCTTTGGCATCTTCGCCGAATTTATCTCCAAATTTGAGGTGAGTTTCTTAAATGCTGCCATTTTCACAGATGTAATTACACTAAAGCTGTGAAGTAAGAGTTTGCTGATTTTGTATTCAACAGAGAGCACTGAGTGAGACGCAAGGAACAGAAAACCCCAGAAGCCCCCGAATAGCCTCGCCGCTGGCATGGTGAAACCAACAGCATCTGCTGTTTCTAATCCAGAACGCCCATGTGCCAATAAAAACAGGGAACTTGATAGCGTGAAGGGAAATGAACCTTACTTTAAATGTCTTCGATGAATTAAAAATATCTTTAGAATAAAAAAGATATATATTTTATACAGAACTTCAGCGAGAAAGTATATTAATATAGCCTAATAATAATCATTTTGTTTTGAGATTTCCAGCTGCTAGAGAATGTAACAGGAACATGCACACTTCAGGTGAAGAGGATTGATGGTATATTTTGGTATGGTATACTTACTCATCCTCAAGCCAAATGTATTTTAACACACACACACTTGTTTTGAGCCAGCTGCTAGAGAATGTAACAGGAACATGCACACTTCAGGTGAAGAGGATTGATGGTATATTTTGGTATACTTTGGTATGGTATACTTACTCATCCTCAAGCCAAATGTATTTTAACACACACACACACACAAAAAGTTTCAGATGAGTTTTAAATTCTTCACAGTATTAGTGTTTTATTGTTGTACTCCGTTGTGATACGCCGATATTATAGCAGAACAAGAGTGCACCCTTCATAAGTGAAGATAAAACTATTTTCCAAATCAATGATCATTTGTATTTTATTGCAATATTAGTTGTGCAATTGATCGGTGGTTTCATCCCGCATGACAATCTGTAGTAGGTTTTACATCATGAAATTGGTTTTCAACTATGAAAAGAAGATGCAAAAGCTTCACATTATTAAATGGCAGAAGGGTACACATATCATCTGTTCTTTTAAAATGAGTATGTAGCTTGTCTGACTTTTTTTTTTAGGTACTATTGTTTAAGATAACCCAATGCATTTCTTCTTGGCGTCTTCTGTTCTTGAACAAATGCATGATCTTCCTTATTGCCTGTTTTTGTCATTTTTGTGTATTTTTCTTAGTTTCTTGTCAGAACCAATCAACCAGGAGAAAACCTACAATTTGCATTTGCATGTAGCAGAGTATTTCTATTTATGTAATGTATTCCTGTTTTGATTGTTTCTGTATCGATTTGTTATATTGAATATGTTTTACCAAATTAATTAGTTGTAAATTAATATTTGTGTACAAATTGTTGGCGTGACTAACCTAGTGTTTTCCCGAGCAGTTCTATATCGGCTTCAATATCGAAGGGCCACATATTGCTGCGTTTTAATCAGATGTCTAATTCGTTTTGCCTGAATAAATACGCTTTTGCGGAAATTCATCTCTGTGGAGTTATTTTGTACTGTAACTGTATCCACTTATGGAGGTCTTCTTTAAGAGGTTCCCTTATGGACCTGGCCTCCAAATCCCACAGATCTCAATCCGACCGAATTTCTTCTACTTTTTACTACTAGAATAAAGTAAAAAAATAGCAATTTTGGTTTTATTAATTCCTAAAGTTATAGGCTAGCTATCTATTTATTTGTTTATTTATTTACAGCTGCTTTACTGTTACATTTAACAACAGTTTTAAATCTGATTTAAAGGTGTATCTTCTAATCATGTCAGATTGTAAAGTGTTTTTTTTTTTTTTAATTGCATTTTTATTTTCACAATTATACAAAAAAATTTTTTTCCAAGTGCACTCTCCATATCCACTTTGAATGCCATCATAATGTTCTCGTTACCAGGCAACATATATCAATCAGGATACAGGAAAATTACTAATAATAAACCCCTGCCTATTTATCAAGAAACTTAACTCAATTACACATAAACACACAAAAAAATTATTTACTGAGACAAAAACAGCACAGTATATGGCTAAATTCTCTCTTCATAAATAAATTATACGTTTTTTTTTCCGGCGTTTTTGCAATTTTTCTATAACAGGACAATATAGATATGACAGGATGTGAGTGGGAGAGCAAGAGATGGGGGGTAGGAACGGGAAAATTCCACGAGGAGGTACTCGATCTCGGGACACCCGAAGCGCAACTACGTTACATGTCGGTGCGCTGCCCACAAGGCTATCGGCACCGACACATTTTAGAGTGAGATCTGGTTTATATCAGTCCTTTATACCAAGGCGCTCAAAGATCAGAATGAGGAGAAAATCCAAAAGCAACTAACCGAAATTAATGCATGAATTATTCATATCTGCGAAACTGGATTCTGGTTGGCCGATTGTGATTATTCACTACATAATTGACTAGTGTCCTCATTGATTCCCCAAAGCTGTGCTGCTTGTTTTTCACTATGGTTTCTTTCTTCACATATAAAATAAAAATAATTATTTTGTAAGTTGGCCTGGAAGCAAAATAATGAACCGTCAGTTGGTCCCTTCAGGCTGTATAGGAGTAGAGAAGATGCAAAATTCTGTTATGTAATTTCACACAATAATGACAGCTTGCACTCAGTGTGCAAAAAGAGTAGAATAGGTTGTTAAATTAATGAGCATACAACAATTGAATCAACTGAATGATGGCAAACTGCAAGTGTTAGTTCAGCTGGAGAAATACAGTCATTCTCAGGTCATTGTTTATTCTCTCCACATATGCATTCAAGTGTGTGTAAAACCATTAATGGACTCTAATTAGAGGCATCGGTGGTGTTCACTTATAGTGTTGGTGGTCACAGTTAACTTAAAATGGTGTAATATTTTTAGCGTTTTTTTGCACTCGCTATATATCCAAAACTACTGGTGAAGAAACACATTTCCAAAAATAAATAAATCTGAGAAGACAACAACTACACAATGAAACACCTGTTCTTATTTCACTCTTTTTTTTATTTCACTTTGAAGCAGTAATACAAAGCATTTTTTGTCTTTTTCCAAATTCAATAAAGATGCAGGCTTCTGAACTTCAAATGCACCGTCAACTTTTCGTTTCATAAGTGTGAAGTCAGTTTACTTTGCAAACCTCGGTAAAATAGCTCTTGTAAGTGTACTTAGGTAAGGCAGCATGGTAAAGGCAAGGAAAATGTATAAAGCAAAGCTAACTGAGCATGATCGCCTACATTTTTCCCCTCACACCAGAATCATATCCCAAATGTTTTGTTTTTGAATGAGAGTTTATGGAAATGAGACAAGGAGGGAAAAATGTAAGCAATTATGTCTGCTCTTAGCTATTATACAGTAAGACTAACATCCGCGTGGCACATTTTTCCCCACTTTGGTACCATATCAGGGGTAAAAGGAGGGAAATACAAAGCTATCCTTGTCAAGGCTTGGTAAACATACAAACAAAGCCATAACATAAAGTTTCCATACCAGAATATCACTAAAGCACATATTTTGACCTTTTCCATTACATAAACTGACAGCTAAACAGTTTATTTCTAATTTTAGCAATCAATTTAGAGTCCAATAACAAATGGCCTTTTTCACATATGATCCAATCAGGATTACTTTTACACATAGCTGAGTAGTGCTCTACCACATATGTTTAGGTCCAGTCATTTTAATGCCCCAAAAATATGAAATCATCAGCTGTCAAAGGCAGAAAACTAATCATTTGACATTTGCATACCTTAAACTAAAGTATTGCATGAAACTAGTTTCCAACCCGGAAAAGTAAGGCTTGCAAACGAAAAAAAAAGAGGAATGTTCTGTATTTGTACTGTATTAGCTGACTGGAGACCTGCAGTCACAAGCTACACATAAAGCCACAGTTTTCCACCTTTTAAATTGAGTAATTGCTTTGTTTAGCTAAGGCCACTTAAGACTCACCTCCAAGTACCTCGTTCACCAAATTCACCCCATCACCGTACAGACCCAGTTCCTCATGCAATACAGGTCATTTTTGCTGCCATCACAATGAAAGGCATGTGTAAATAAACGTGCAATATCTCGGTGCATCTGTTTCCCTGGTGCCACTGGGATTGTTGATTGTCTTAAGCGTAGGGTATTCGAGAAATACAGCCAAGATTATAAACACTTTGGTAATGGTGAGAAGAGCAGCCCTTTAGCAAACCTTTGGTTAAGGGAAAGGGTGTTTGGGGGTCAAGGCCGTTTTTACAGGACAGTGCTCTCTGTGTCAAGGTCTGTGTCCTTGAGTTGGGTAGCAGGCTTCTCAATGGCGATATCAGGAACAAGAGCACGAGCCAGTGGTTTAAATGTCATCCCCGAATCTGTAAGATACAAGATTAGGGAGTCAGACCATGCTGACTAATGGACTAATCAACTAATCGACTAATCAAAATACAAAATTAAGCTTAACAGTGCTTTAATTTATTAGACCACCACCACCCTAAGGTTTGTGCCACAGCTGCCCTAAACGAACAGTATTGGTGATTACCAAAATCATTTTTTATGTTTCTTTAATGGTTAATCCACCAGTATGTGTAAGCTCTTTAGTCCCAGTAGTGTTTCTAATGATAAAGTATAATTATTGTTGTTACCCATGAAATTTTGAATTTGCTGTTTTACAAGAAATTCAAAAAATATATATTAATTTTTTTTATTCAGATGCCTAATTACAGTCAATAACAACAGAAACTGTGGAAAAGTACATAAAAACAATGCCAGCAAGAATGCCAGCTATTATCAAGGCCAAAGGCGGTCATACAAAATATTGTGTTTTTTGGTAATGTGTGAATAAAAACTATTTATCGTTTAAGCTTATTTGCCTCATAAATGACAATAATATTTTTAGTTTTAAACAAGTTTTTGACAGATTCTGAAAATATTTGTTTTTATTATGACAGGTGATCTAATAAATCTGTTAAGTACATACGGTGCTTAAATTTATTAGACTATATTTATTGACTGTAATTGGGCATCTGAATAAAAAACAATAATAAAGTGCTTTACTATTTTTTTCTGCCTTTCTTGTAAAACAGTCAATTCAAAAATTCATGGATTGGCTTTAAAATGAGGATTTACAGTTTATTTTAGAATGAGGATATAAGGGAAAAACTCACCCTACATACTATATAGTTTTCTTTTAACAGTTTTTTTTAATGGAATCTATTCCAGGACTATAATAATAATGATAATAAATGAATAAATAAATAATAATATTTTATTATTAAATTATAACAATTAAACAATCCAATAAAGAACTATTACTATAGTAATAATACTACCGTGCTGTAAAATAAAATTGTATAGTATTTGATATTTATAATAACAATAATAATACAAATGTTATTTTACAGAACAACAAAAATTACAGTACTAATATCCATACGGTCTTCATTTCAAAAACGTGTTACATTCAAACTGGCGTTTCTTGTCAAACAGTGACAAGCTTGCATCCCTGCTTTCACTAAAATGCTGCACGTCAAGGATATCTGCAACATATCTCACTCAAAAACATAAATGGCAGAATTAAGTAATACTATTAATATAATGTCAAATGTTAAATAAGTTATAGCAGTGTATTAATTTGGGGTGCTATTTTGGGTAAAATCCTTCAGGTTGCACTTATTGGTTGACATCGTAGATAAGAAAAAACAATTAAGTAAAAAAGGGTAAAAATTGTAAAAATCGATCATCAGTGGATCTCTAGTACTGACATGTACCAAAATTCTCTCATGACACTGGGACAGTCACAGTGTTCAGAGCAAGGAAGTGCAACTCTAAAATGTTAGTCGTTAAATGCAATTCTAAAATAGTAGTGAGTTAAATGTGCACTCATTTTGTTATTAAACTTTGTGTGAATAAATGCATCCTGCATCTCTGTGAAGTATTTCACCAAGCAGCGGTATTACAAATGAATCCACTTTTCTTAACGACTATTTCCTATGTAGCTACATCGAAATTCTATTCAGCTTTCAGACACAGTCTTCATGTGGCCCGAAACCTTACGCAACTCGCAGAAACGCAAACAATCAGGCAGTTAAACAGAAGCGTAGAGTGACGGAAATAAAAGAGCTTCACCCATTGTTTTGAAAGCAGCACTGCAAATTCCATTGCTGTCACTTCCTGTGGCTGGAGGCTGGGGCGGAGGGGGAACAGTAGGTCTGTTGCGTGGTTTAGGCACAGGCCTCGGGCGAGGAAGCGATCCTGACTGGAACGCCGGGGGAGCGGTGGGACTGGGATGCCATTCCTCTGAGCTGGAGGAGTGGACGCAGGTTCTCGGGGCTTTGAACTGAGAAGCAGGGAGGAAAAAATATAAATCAGTAATATTTAGTAAATAATATTTATTTGACATTCTGCAACATGCAAACTCCACAAATACAAACTTAAGCCTTATTGTGATGGAATATTTTAATATCAAGTTTGAAATGGTTAAAGCTAAACTCAGTATTTTTTTCTTTAAATGTGGATTTTTTTTCTCAACATAAAAATGAATGAAAAAATATGTTTGTATTTCAGAAAAAAATTTGCAAAAAGTAAGCTTAAGATTGTCAATGAGGCAGCAAGTAGAAATATGTACCATATCTACACCTAAAGCAGTGGTTCTCAACCTTTTTGACTCCATGTATCATCCTAAATATCCATATGTATATTTAAATTAAAATTGATATTCAAAGCCCCCCTCCCCGATAGATAGATAGATAGATCGATAGATAGATAGATAAAGACTAAGTGCCATCTGAAATTTTCATGTAAAATGAGCATTTTTATCAGACTCCTATGTTTAGGTTCAGTACTTTTACTCTAATGGCAATGTATAGGTCCTTTTCTATGCAATTAAAGTGAAATAACCGAACATAAATATAGGTGCCTGATAAAAATGCTCATTTTAGAAGAAGTTTCCAGACAGCACTTAAGAGGCTTTTGCATCTGAACTCTTCATTTGTTTATTTAGTTAAGTTAGTTAGTTGCAAAATGTAACTATATTTTCGCCCAGCTCTTCATATAAAGTTGAATAAGTATATCCTACTTTATCCGCATACAGTATACTTGCATAGGGCAATATACACTATGTCTCAACATCCCTGAGATATTGCTTGTATTGTTGCAAAATGTCAAACTATATTATTGCTCAGCTCTAATTGGCTAAATGCAACTATAAACGTGGAGATATTAAAATATTACAACACAATATTAAATAATGATTTTCTGTAAATCTTAAATTAGTAAAGCACTTAATTTACTCTTTTCTTCCATTTCTTTTTTTTTTTGGTTAAATAATTTGCTTGCATTTTTCTCCACTTTGTATTACCACAGCCTTGCCTTGCCTAAAGCTTATTTGAAACAATGTGTATTGTGAAGCCCCCTAGTTGGGAACTACGGCCCTTAAGGGTACCCAAGACGTCAAAAATGGTTGTCTAAGTTGTCTAACTATTATGGACCCTTAAGGTACTTGGTTGCTTGGATGCATTTAATTTATTGCCATATCAACTTCCCTGGCTATTACATGGTATATACAGATTAAAGGGTCAATAATATAATAAATAAAATATAATATATATATATATATATATTTAATTCAATTTAGACAAAAAAAGACAAGATTTTGTACATACAATTCTATCAAAGATTCTTTAAATGTATGCGTGATAAAAATGAATATTAAGGTTCTAATATCTTAGAAGTAGATAAGATACAAAGGTCCACGTTTGAGGGTACTATGACAAGCTGATTTTGCACATTTTACCTTTCAATGTAAGCAGTAAAAGCGGTTTCGTTTTAAATGGAGGAGGAGCATGGGCAGTCAAATACTACTCTCTTTATCTTGTTAAACTCCCCTTCACTCACAAAATACATTTATCAAACATAGCTACTTGCCATCTGTTGCTGAAAAGCAATATCAGTAAAACGAATTATATGTTAGGGTTGTTATAGAACACAACAATGTAAACCACTGGAAAAAAGGGAGTTGAAAGATCCGCTTTGTCCCTCCACAGCTATTCCATGTGCATGCAGGGCTGATTCATTCATGCATTGCACTGGTCCGGCACGGTCCGAAGCATGCAGGAGTCTTACCTGATCTCCTCAGTATGCTGAGCTAGAAGCTGCTGTGCTGCTGCCAGGGCTGCCATCCCCAGCGCCAGCCCGGGTTGACAGCTCTCTAAGCCCAGGCCCACCTGCGCAGGCTGCTGGAGCAGGAGTTCAGCCATAGGCTGACCCCCTGCACTACCTGCAGCCTCCACCGGGGGCAGCGGGGGCTGGAAGGCAGGCGAAGCGTGCTGCTTTCTAGGTACAGTATTGCCTCTACGAGGATTGTGGTCCATTAATTTATTAGCAGAGCTATAGAAAGAGGAGACAGCAGAGACACCACTAGTGCTAATAAGTTCCCAGGAGAGCGACACCACAGAAACCAAGAGGGTAATCTGCACTGGTAGAAATCCCAATTACACCACACACATTGCAGGGTTAAGAGGGAAAAGCAAGAGATTTATCAGTAGAATGGACAACACCCGAGTGGTTAATGGTGAGTGTAATCTGAGCCGCTATTTTAATTGCTCAATTAAACTGCATTCTAAATCAGCTTAATTGCAGATCTTGTGAAGCAAGAGGAAATAACTAGTGTGATTGATTCAGGGAATCGGACTGTTAATTGAGATTTTGTGGGAAGTTTTACCCGTCTCTCCGGGGCAATTCACCATCTGGGCCCACCATGCTGCCAGGTCTCTTCCTCTCTATGGTGCCCGAGTCATAATCTGGTGGGGTCAGGTGGTTGACGTTGTTTGGCAGGGGCGCAGGCATAGAAAACATGCCGGATACATTAAAATCCACATCTGAAGGAATAACAAGAAACAGGTTCATCTTAAAACTGACAGCAATACTTTTTTTTTTTACTTTTTTTACTTTTTTTCATTGGTAAATACTATATATTTAAAGCTTTATGGCCCCTACCCTCAGGGAAAAACCAATCTGCATGCTGAATGATGGGTTCAATTATAGTAACCACATGCACAGAGGTTGCAGCAGCCATTTCTGCTAGGCTCCTGTAGGTAAAGAAAGGAGAGTTTAAAAAAAGCACAATTAAATATGTTAACGTGTTTGCTGGAAATTGCAAAAAATATTCTGACCCCTCGGTTTTGGCCCACAGTAGATTGGGTCCAAGGACAATGGCAATGTTGCTGGGGGTCATCTTGTTAACGTCACTTTCCTGTGCAAGCTTAGCAAGGAACTTAATAAGGTATCTGTAAAACAGAAAAAAATAGTCTAAATGAGAAGATAGCAATTTAGAAACAAACTGCTTTTTACTGTAGTCTTTTCCCTGCTTTTTAATGCAAGTCCTGATGTATAAACAAGTTCTTTCAGTGATCTACTGATATCAGAAAATGATTGTTTTTTTACTACAAATTAAAATAAAATAAGAAAAATTGCATTAGGTGAGGTTTATGCTTAAAACGAGAAAAAATAAACCACATTTACAGGATAAATAACATGCTTATATTCAAGATATATTCTTGAATATTAAATCTTAATGTCTTCAGTATTTTTTTTTATATTTAAAAAAATAATAATGTCACTATTTTATTTACTATTATTTATTTTTATCAGCAAAAATTACATTTAAATGCTCTATTTCTCTAGTTTCTAATACAGTTAAACTGGGAAGTATCATGGGTCTGCACATGAACTATCTGCAGATGATTAGCAATAACATTTCAATAAATCTGAAACCTCTCTGCATACACATATAAGTTTACAATTTGTGCCATTTCACACATGGAGCCCCAGAACTTTGCACAAACTGCTTACACTTCACATTAAAATGCAGTTGAAACCCACCTGAAGTTTGCCTTGTTGTTTTTTGGTAACTGATCGCAGGTAACCCACAAAGCTTGTAACCGTTTGTCTGGATCAGGGACACTTGACAAAATAAAAGCCCAGTAATTAACAAAACAAACACTACAAGATTCCTTTAAACAATTCTGTAAAGTACTGCAAGATGGCTTACTTGGAAGCCTGTATCCATTCATCATACAACTGGTAAGTCATCAAAGGTTCAGGCAGCTCTCTGAGATACGACTTTAATGCCCCTTAAATCAGGAGAATGTGGTTTTAAATGAACATTCATTAAGTGTGAATGACATATAACTGATACACACAACAAAACAGGACTTACCAGCAACGGCATGCGGGTCGGAGTAAAACTCCTCCAGCTGTGAGGTGGAGCAATCCAGAGCTGCCTTCAGCTTCTTCAGCTTAGAGGCTCCTGCAGCTATTCTGAAAAGACCCTGGAGAACCATGAATTTAAAGACGGATTTAGGGTGAAAGCCAAGACCCAAATTCATTCTCTAACATTTGAAATGTTTTGTTTTGTTGGATAGCTGCAGCAGCAGTTTCAGAGATGTGTCGGTACAATGTGGACACTGTTAAAGGTTGAACAGTACTTCGATAACTGAAAACATTTGCCGATCTGCCTTGACCGGATTGGAAAAGATTACTGTGGCAGATCAACAACACAGTATTTGATGTGTATGAGTGATGTATTGTTTCAACACTGTAGTGGTCTCGCCGTACCTCCTCTTTCATTCCAGTCTCCAGCAGCATCATGATGCAGGCCTCTAAAGGCAGCGCGATCTCTCTGCTACTGCGCTTCAGGTGCTCGTCCAGAGCCGTTCCAAACGCTGGCTTCTCAGTCCACGAATCTATCAGGAAAACAGAAATACCTTTATTTTAAAGAATATTTACTAGCAACAACTTACAGAAGGAGCGTTCATCTGTGATTCATCAAGACAAACTACTGTAAACACTAGATCCTGCTGTCAAGCCCCCTTCAAGCTGTCTTTTTCCATCTTACTGTTTCTGAAAAAGGCAAATGAACCAGGTGGGTGAGATCTGAGAAATATTACTCATGGCCCACATGCTGGGACACCAAGTCTCTCTGCCTCACAGGTGCTTGCAGGAAAACATCACAACAACAATTTATAGCACTCAAGCGCCAGATTTCCAGGCACAAACGAGAATGAAAACAATTAAGAGCCTCTAAGGACTGCACAGAAAACCACTGAAACACACCATCAGGCTAAATTCACTTCATTTTCATTTGATATATCTACATTAGTCACTAGGGATGGTCACAATGGTGCAGTACTCAATCAACAACCAGCTACTGTAGCTGACTAATCTGGTTGATAGTTTATGTAGTTTGTTTTTTATTTGTTTTATTTTGTATATTTTTACCAGCAGTGATTTAACTAGTCTAAAAAAAGAAAAAGATTTAATTGCATAAAAAAAAAAGAGTCTCTATAGATGGACGTCTTTATCTGAAACCAGCATAATTATATAAGGTTTCCTTAAAGGCATAGCTGACCAAAAAAATGAAAGTTGTGTCATTATTTACGGACCTTCATGTCAACACCTGTATGACTTTTGTCAGCAGAACTTAACAGAATATATTTATTAGTGGTGCAACGGATCAAAAAACTCACGGTTCGGATCATATTACAGATTTTGAGTCACAGATCGGATAATTTTTCGGATCAGCAAAAAAAATAAAAAATTTGTGAAAGCTTACTTTAAGTACTTCTATACCACAGCAAAACTACTAGTTTAACTAATAAAGTTAGTAATAAAACAAGAACAATTACACAAATTACAAGCATAGATGAATACAACAAAACAGTTACAAAGTAACAGTAGCATTCAGGTGCAGAAATGTAATAATTAAGTGTAAAATAACACAATGGTGCTCACTGCACAAGTTAAATACAGATTAATCTTTGTTGGAGCTGTGTTTGATTAGCAGACAGAAACAGGTATTTATTGGCTGCTGTCTCTTTAAGACCAAATGCACGGACCTAATACTGACACACGTCCGGTTTTCTTCTCAGTTGTTTACGTTCACTTAAGACATAACCGACTGTGTTTACTAGAATACTTGCCAAAATGGGTATTTTAAAATAACTTTGTGTGTATGTGAAAGAGGAATCAATTCGCTGTTCACGCGGTGTCTCTCTCTCTGCGTGTGTGCGGCAGCGGCTGAGCACACAGAAGACAGCGCGCGAGTTAAAATTGCTTGAATGTGTAAACTGGCAAGACAAAACATGTGCAAATGATAAACTTTAACTCTATGATGGTTAAACTTAACAGTTAATCCGCAAATCACATGCGTGCCAAACCGTGCAGCCTGATCCGTACGGATCATCTACGTTCCGTTGCACCGCTAATATTTATCAGGGTTTTTTTTTTTTTTTTACACATTGGGATTAATGTTGATTTTGAACCCCACTGACTTTCATTGTATGGACAAACACAGTCAAAACATTCTTCAAAATAATTAGTTTTATTTTCCACAGAAGAAACTTTCTGAAAAACGTTCTGTTTTCAGTGAACTATCCCTTTAAGACCAATCAATCAACTAGACATTCATCCTCAAAATATGTAGTTTTAAGGATGCTTATTAATCACTAGAGGCTAATTAGGTTTCACTGGTAGTTATTTCAGATACACAGCAATAAGAAACTGTGCAGTCACCTTGTTGAGCTTGAATGGTTGGCAGGACGCTCTCGAGCAAGGTGAGAGATTTTCGGTGATGATCCGCTTGCGCCTCTAATAACTGAGAACAGAGCAGACATTGAGGAAGGAGAGACACACAGCAGTATGAACAATGGCCATTACAAACATGGAACTGAACAGGAATAAACACAGCAAGTGAGTTATTGAACAAATGGATGACAAACAAAAAAGCTTCTTACCATTACATAGTAGCGGGCATAGTCTGCCTCCTTTGAGAAGAAATTGTACATGTCTGCTGAAAGTTGATCCTGGAAGGGGGAAAAAAACATGATTGAAACTATTGGTTTTGTTCTGGCTGTTCAGACAGAGAAATTGGATATTACAGGAAACAAGCACAGCGGTTAGCCACATGCTCCTGATACATTACATTATGCATTCGGCAGATGCTTTTATCCAAATTGACTTATACTCATTGCTATACATTTTATCAGTAATGTGTTCCCTGGCAATCAAACCCATGTCGAACAGGAACACACATGCTGAGCCTTAATTGCTCAAGTGGTGACGCAGGTTCGAGACCTTATTTCACATCTCCATTTACCAAAAGTGACTATTCAGTCAGAAAGAAAAAATTGTCTGTAATTACGACACTGATTACACATCAGATTTCTGCAGTTATAACAACCGCTGCATCATAAATCAGTCACCATATGGCTGACTAGCAGCTCAATGGTTCTGCCACAGGGTCGATGAACTTTGAATCAAGCAGACTGATGTCTAGTTTTATTTGAGATGGACTTGTGATTAGAAATATCATATTTTGTTATTTAAACAAGAAAAACATTGTAGACTAAAGACCCGTTCACACCAAGGACGATAACTATAAAGATAACGATAAAGATATAGTTCTAAAAATCGTTCTCAGTATTAAAGAATAGCAGAGTCCACACCACAACTATAACGATAAAGACAAAGAGAAACGATATAGTTGGAATCACTTTCAAAACAATTTTTTTCCAGCTGATGAACGATAAAAAATTGACAGCCAATCAGAATCCATCCTGCTGTAACGAGCTTGAGAATTTAAAGCAGCAGACGAGCGTGCGCTTGGAATAAACGGACAATATCGTTCACTGGTGTCGACGCTAATATCGTTATCTTTATAGTTATCGTTCTTGGTGTGAACGGGGCTTAAGAGCCACGATTTTCATTGAACAGACTTCAAAAAGTTTAAAATAAAGACTGAAAAGGATATTCATTTATTCAATAAACTCACCCTACACTATCATTCAAAGGTTTGGGGCTGGTAAAAATACAGTTTGGGGTTTGATGAAAAATATAGTAAAAAAGGTAATACTGTGAAATATTATTTCAACTCTGTTCTTTTTTTAACTTCTAATATAAAATAGTTTATTCCCTGTGATGGCAAAGCTGATTTTTTTTTAGCAGTCATTACTCCAATCTTTAGTGTAACATGATCCTTCAGAAATCATTCTAATATGCTTATTTGCTGCTCAAAAAATTTTTTATTATTATCATCACAGCTTCTTTTTCTGGAAACCCTGATACTTATTCTTTGATGAATAGAAAATGTAAAAATACAAAGAAATGCATTTATTTGAGATACAATGTCACTCTTGATCAATTTAGTGCAGCCTTGCTGAAAAGTTATTTCTTAAAAAAAACTTACTGACTGCAGACTTATGGTATTGTACGTTACTTTTAGAAATCTGAAACTTATATATATTATATATTGAGTTTCAATATGCTTGGCTGAACATTCTAGCAGTAATCCTCCTATGACTAGCACTCACTTACCTTACCTCAGCAAATTAGCTTACCTCAGAAAATAGCAGTCATTACTCCAATCTTTAGTGTAACATGATCCTTCAGAAATCATTCTAATATGCTTATTTGCTGCTCAAAAAATTTATTATTATTATCATCACAGCTTCTTTTTCTGGAAACCCTGATACTTATTCTTTGATGAATAGAAAATGTAAAAATACAAAGAAATGCATTTATTTGAGATACAATGTCACTCTTGATCAATTTAGTGCAGCCTTGCTGAAAAGTTATTTCTTAAAAAAAACTTACTGACTGCAGACTTATGGTATTGTACGTTACTTTTAGAAATCTGAAACTTATATATATTATATATTGAGTTTCAATATGCTTGGCTGAACATTCTAGCAGTAATCCTCCTATGACTAGCACTCACTTACCTTACCTCAGCAAATTAGCTTACCTCAGAAAACTAAGCAAATGTTATGTCATCTAACTGATCTTCATCAGCCAAGCTGATGCGATCGTTCTTACACGCCGCTACAATATGTTGCTGTAAAATCCATAACTAAGCAACTCATAAGGATAAGGCATGTTTAGGCATGTTGCACATCAGTACCTTACACAGCTCCATTTTGTTCATAGCTTCATCGACTTCTTCTTTAAGTGAGTCTGCTTTGGCTGTCAGTGCTTGTGTGTTTGTTCCTGAGATTATGGACTTGGTCGCCTGCAACCACCTGTAAAGAGACCGTTTCAGTCATGAACTAGGTGCTATACATGATATAGTGAAACCTGATGCATGACAGAAACCTCACCTTGCTCGGGCAGAGTCATAGTCCAGCACCAGCTTGGCTAACTGCCGCCTCTGTTTCAGGATGTTAGGAATGTCCACCTGAAAAAACAATAAGATTACGCAAGCATTGCTATTAACATTCTGGCCTATACCAATCAATTTTGTCAGGTAATCGTGGCTAATAAGTGGCTGATATTAAAAATTAGCCAATCTAAATGTTAAATTGGGGAAACGAGCATGCATATTCTTTTATGTTTGTCTGTACCTCTGCTAGCTGATTGAGGGGGTCTAAGATTTCCTTTTCAATGTTCATCTCGTGCTGCATTAGTTCAGAGGCCAGTCTGTTCTCTGCATCTCCGCACATCTCCATCATTTTCCTGCAAAGATGATACTGAATATAAATTACTGGGGTCTCTTATGCTCACCAAGATAAAAAAAAAAAATACAGTAAAACCGGAAAATAGTGAAAAAGTATTACTATTTAAAAAAAATGTTTTACATTTTTAAATGTTTTGAAAATATTATTTATTCCTGTGATGGCAAAGCTATTTTTTCAGCAGCCATTACTTCATTCCTCGATGTCACATGATCCTTCAGAAATCAATATGCTGATTTGGTGCTCAAGAAACATTTCTTATTAATGCTGAAAACAGTTGTGCTGTTCAATATTTTTGTGGAAATCGTGATACATTTTTTTATTTTTTATAAATCACTGATGAATACAAAGTTCAAAAGAACAGCATTTATTTCCAATAGAATTTTGTAACTGTATAAATGTCTTTGCTCTTACTTTTGACCAATTTATTTAATCTTAGCTCAATAAAAGTATTTCAGTAACACTTTAGTATGGAGACCAATTATCACTATTAACTAGTTGCTTATTAGCATGCCTATTATTAACATAGTACTTATAAAGCACACATTGTGCATGACCATATTCTACATCCATAAATCTAAACTTAACTACCTTACTAACCATTAATAAGCAGAAAATTAGGAGTTTATTGAGGCATAAGTCATAGTTAATGGTTTGTTAATAGCGAGAATTGAACCTTAAAATAAAGTGTGACCTTCATTTCCTTACAAAAATCTTACTGAAAAAAAACCTCTAATATTTGTATGTTTTATACTGTTTTTTTTTTTAAATGCATGGCACGAGTGCTTTTATACACTGCGCTTTTTTGCGCCATCGTCTCATTTAAACGATACAGTGAACTAATCCATTACCAATCTAAACAATAAAGAGCCACATTTAAGCGGTAATTGATCAAAATCTATTTAAATGTTAATGTCATCCAATTACCCAATCAGAGACTCCTCCCCCAACTGGTTTCCGCCATCCTGCATGGCCTGTGACAGCGCTGTCAGTGGAAGCTTTTTCTGTGCCAGAAAACCAGGGAGTTTTTGTGAAACATTACATGCAAATTCAAGCAGACAAAATGTGGTGATGACTGACATTTTGTGCAGTCATAAGCACTGTTATGCCCTTACATGTCTCTTCTCAGCATCAGTGCCTATCTGCCCCTGCAAACACGCGACCATTCTTTTGTGCGTGTTGTGCGAAACGACTCGCACCAACTCCATACGCCGCTCAATCTGTGCAGAGCAAAACAAAACATCAATAACAACCCACAATCCATATTGAGCTGTGGCTAGCACTCAATGCAAAGCCTGTATGCATCGTGTTGAAAGAAAAGAGCCTGTAAAAAAGTGCCTAAGGCATGTTATGTAATATCGCATGGGAAGCTTCTGTGATATGAAACAGATTTAATAAATTCAGCTTTCCATCTTAGCTTTAGAATAGACATTATAGCCTGAGCGTTCGTGTCAATTAACAGGTGTTGCTGTTAGAAAGGAATAAAACACTTTTCATAGTCTTGAGGGTGGGGTAAGGTCAAACATGATTTATCACACCACTCCCTGGGGAGGCATGAAAAAGATATGTTACTTTGCATAAAGAAGACAAGTATGACTCATCTGCCCTGTTGGGATGCCTAAGATTTAAATGCATGAGCTCAGCAATGGGATGCCATAAATAGAGAATACAGATGCAGACCAGACTCTCTTTTTTTACTTCATTCTGTTTTGTTAAAAAGGGGGTGCTGGAGCATGGTTTAGTTCACCATAGTTACCTATTCATTTCTATGAGGAAAATTACCGTATTGGCCCGAATATAAGACAACCCTGATTATAAGACGACCCCCCTTTTTCCAGATGTACCTTTTGGAAAAAGGCTTTTTAAAAACCAAATCTTGTTTTTTCTCAGTAAAACACATTTTGTCTTCAATTATTTTCATATTGCATATTTTTACTATTTTTATCTTTGTTTTGAAAGTATGGTAAAAACTGGTAAAATGTACCAACAATCACATTTAAAAAATAAACACTTAAATGTGGTAATTTGGTGAAAACTGTTGTGGAATATTTTTTTCCCATTTATTGTTATTAAATAATTATAGAACAATTAAATAAATAAATAAATAATCAAATAGAATAATAAACTTAATAAAAATAATAAAAAAATAAAGTGGACCAATCCAGCCAGCTGAGATGAAATCACAACATTTAATTATAAAAATTATATATATATATATATATATATCAACTAGTTTGATTGTAGTGTGAGATGTAGAGTGAGATGAGATTTTGTACTGATTTGCTTGTCAATTTTCTGATTGGTGGATTTCTTTTCAGGATTGACTGGTAATGTAGTTCTTTATCTGGAATTTATCATTGACAAATACAATATATATATATATATATATATATATCAACTAGTTTGATTGTAGTGTGAGATGTAGAGTGAGATGAGATTTTGTACTGATTTGCTTGTCAATTTTCTGATTGGTGGATTTCTTTTCAGGATTGACTGGTAATGTAGTTCTTTATCTGGAATTTATCATTGACAAATACAACTATTTATAATTGTATAATTATTATACAATTGATTAAAAATGAAAATAAAAATTGAAACAATTATATATTATATTCCATTATATAGAATAAAAACTAAATGCAGTGGATACAAGTGGATTTTGTGACAAAAATGATCTAACTAAATAAATGTCTGCAGCAGGATGTATTTGGCACTGTTCCAACATTTATAATCTGATAAATCATATTCATAATATCTAACTCTAGAGGACTGCGAAATTAAGCTCCACTGTATTCATTTTTTTATTTGACTGACATTTACTTTCTCATTTCTTATTTAGGCCTCTTATTTTACCAGCAGCAAATATGCTTAGAAAAAATATAGGGTGTCATCGTCGGAACAGAGATCCACTGCCTAAGACTTTGAAAACTACCGTCATGACAGACAAGTCAGCTTTTTGATGCGAGCAGGGCGGGCCTGCTCGAACACATGCCAGCCCTAAAAACAACCATGAAAAGAATGTCACTTCAGAACTGTGAGAGCGGTATGACTGAACAAACACTGAGGAGGAGAAAAGAGATCCGAATGAGAGAGAGAGGAAAAAAACTGACTCATGTTCCAAAAACAGCCCAGATCAGGAATTCCACAGGCTGGGAGAGGAGATAACCACCTCCTCACACTTCTCTGCCTCTTTTACGTCATAACATTCCCTCACAGCCGTCCCAAAGCAGCTGGGTCAAGCGTACATTCAGCTCAGGCGTCTCCGGCATGAGAACGCACAGAGGCCCGCCACCTGGCATGGGAACAAGGGGAATCGCTGACTGTTATTGTCGGTGCTTTTCTGCTGAGGGAGATCCTATTCGAGGGAAGTTGTTTGGATTATCTGGTGTGAGAGGTCTTTAAATGTTTGCCTGTTGCCATCACAGACCAAAAACTGGCGAGCCAATGACAGACTAAACATGCAGAAACAATGAGCTATAGTTTTTTGTAACGGAACATATTATGCTATGTTCAGATATTGGGGAAACACCACTATAATACTGAATAGTCACTGGCAAAATGAAAGCCGCAAAAACGTCCTGTCCGGACAAGCGATTAGGGAAAACTGGATGCAATTCAAAATGGGAGGATGCCACTATCTAGACGCTCAACAATGTTAAAAGTGTCCCCTGAATGCATCTGTGAGTGGCATGAGCATAGCAGCCCTGAGGTAACACGGGTGTCCAGACAGCTGAGAATGGGGTGATGGGATACCACTGTGATCATCCTTGAGCACCACACAGAACCCAGAATAAAAAGCAAGCCCCTCTGAGTGCCATGGGGGGATGTCACCATAATTCTCGCTTGATGTGTCCAAACATCTCATAGAGATAATTTTAGACGCAGCCGGCCAAGAGGAATAAACAAGCGGTCACGAACACAATATTGGTGGAAGTTCAGATAATGACTCTCTATTTCACGGAGTCAAGTCCCTGCGTTTCTAGAAGATCGTTTTGACACTATTTCCATGGCAACCAAACTTTGACAATTTCACAGGGGACAGTTTCACATAAGGAGAGCAAAAGCGCCGTGACGCAATCCATTCGCTCATTTTTTCAGAAGAGAACATTCTTTCTAATGTGACAAAAATAAATTGAATGGAATGTATTTGCTTGACATCAATGACTTCACCTTTCTCTACCCAATGACTCACTAGCTTCCCACCATTTGATGTAATGTAAAATGGATTACAGCCAAAGAATAGAACGGCTTCACTGCAGACAGAGATGGAAATAAAAAGCAGTCACCTGTAACAGGTCATCACTAAGGACCTCTGTTTTCTCCGCTCTGTAAAAGAAGACAACAGATCATTAGAAATGAAACCCATATCCATTTAAACTGCTCAAAACAACAAATTTAAAGTAATATGGCTGCATGATTTAGGGGGAAAATCCAATTGACATTTTTCTGATAAAAATTGCGATTGTGATTTTTAAAACAATAAATAAGCCTGAGGTTTGCTGCAGAATTTGCTAATATGATTTCAAAATAACTATCAAAATAATATAAATAATATTATTTTTTTTAAATGTATTACTAAAATTAGAAATACTCATTTTGCAATATTTCACCGTAAAACAAATAGAGATTTAAGAAAAATAAATACAGCACAACTGTAAAATTACAATACTAATATTTATGGCTGTCTTAATTTATTCATTTCTAAACATTAAGCCATCAAGATTTTATTTGGTGGGTGACAACAGCTGGTTTATAAGCGCTTCTGATTACAACTTTGGAAAGATGATTGAAATATGTTGCATTCATATGTCGCACGTTATAAGCGAGCCAAACTGAGATCAGATGCTGAGATGAGTTTGTGTGGCGCAGCATTTAACGTGAATCAAACCGCTCTGAGACCTACTGTAGCCTTTCACACAGCAATACTAGTAAATTCCCGTAAAAGTACCGGAACGACTTTACCGGTAAATACAAAAATGCGCTGTTTAGGCCTGTCACGATAACAACTTTTTGTTGTGCGATATATTGCCCCAGAAATAATTGCGATAAGCGATATTATTGTCATTTTAAACACCATTTTATGCCACTGAATATATAATCATAATGTAACGGCATAATAATGCAAGAAGGCCTACACACTTTCAAATGACAACAAACTTTTCATTTTTAAGAATATTTACACATCATTAACCAGAAATGACCTCTTAATGGCTGTGCTTCCCGGGGTGTTGTGTTTGTAAACAACCTCCTGGACAGCAACCAATCTGGCTTCAGAAGTGGACATTCGACCTAGACTGCCTTGCTTTCAGTTGTTGAAGCCCTAAGACTGGCAAGAGCGGCTTCCAAATCTTCTATACTTATTTTGCTGGATCTGTCTGCTGCTTTTGATACGGTGAACCACCAGATTCTCCTGTCAACCCTATTGGAAAATGGCATCTCAAGAACCGCACGCCAGTGGTTTGATTATATATATATATATATATACCTTGCTACGTGTACTGCAATGGGCTAACCGAGACTTGTCATTTGCACATATATTGTTGCTCTTTTGTTAGTTTTGACTGCTTTTATTGTCCTCATTTGTAAGTCGCTTTGGATAAAAGCATCTGCTAAATGACAAAATGACTAAATGTAAATGTAAATGTAAATGTAAATATGGAGGGATATACGTGGTCAGTGTTTTTGTTGATCTTTTCATTTTTGTGTCAAACATTCACATTTATGCATCATACAGACATCATATTAGACGACTCCAGACATTTCTTTGACTTCCGTAAACGGCGCAGAGTAAATCCGTCATCTGTGTCAGAATGTTATGATTGGCACAGTGTAGACATCTTACATCAGCGTGTTCTGAACTCATGCGTGCTCATACCAGTAATCTCGTTCTGCGTTCACACAGAGCTCATTACCGATAATTTACTGGTAATGTTATAACTTCTCATACCCGCAAATTACCAGAACAAATTTACCATATTTTTTTAAAAGGTCCTGTTCACACATGATCTCTTTATGGTAATTTACCAGTAATTTGTTTGGAAGGTGCGACTGAAAGCACTGGTTCATGAGCTGCTTGTGGGTAAAAGTACACTGTGCCATGCTTCACTCTGAAACACATACAGTATATAATATATATATTAGGGCTGCACGATAAATCGCATGCGATATTTAACACGCATCTTGTCAGAAAAGCCAGTTCTGTAATCAGCGTTAAATCTCCATCACGTGCGTGCTTTCACATTGAGCAGCATTAACTACACAGAGTCGTTGTTCACTGACGAGCTGCGCAAAACCACGTTCATATTCGCGCGATTTTTTGCGCAGCTCGTCAG